AGAAGGAGAAGCAAGACTCGAGTGGAATCGTTGCGGTGGATTTAGGAGGCAGTTCAGGGAGTAACAGGAGGAATTGTCAGCCTGGATGTGGCTTGTTGCACACTTCCCCAAGATGAGAAAAACAATTCTGATAAACAACTTTGTGAGGAAGTGACGGTTGGAAGGTTAGGTATAGATCTAGGGTGAAGGAGGGTGACAGAGACTGCTACAGTAAACCCAGTTGAAGAGATTCACAAGAAACCTCATGGGACTAGGAATATACACATCATTCACATAACCAAGGTCTTCTCTCGTTTGAAGCTTGATTTGGTGAGGATAGGACCTACAAAAAATTATAAAAAGGTCTATAAAAGAAAGAGGACAGAAGAGGTGAAGAAATTGGAGGGCCTTTGAGGAGCTCGAGAGAAAGAGGACAGAAGAGAGGTTGAAGAAATTGGAAGTTAGAGAAAGAGGTGACAAGTGGGATGAAGAAGATGATGGGCAGGTGGAAAGTTTTGAGGATTAGGAAGTTTTTGGCTTTGGGTTCTGTATCAGGGTCGTTCGAATAGGAGCAGGGTGCAGGTGGTCATTTTGGAGTTTTTCTCTTCATTTTGAATGTCTTTGTGTGTCGGTGTTGATGGGTGTATTAGTCTGTGTTTGTCTATTCTCTCGGGTGATTTATTGTCACCTTTACCTTTGTATTCTCTTTTTATTTTAATGAATTTTTCTTTACCCTTCAAAAAATTCTAGGACAATAAAAACTTTTGATTGTATTTTGACCTTTTTTCCCACTCATTGAGTTATCCAAGACCGGTTGATGAAGCAAACGATTTGGAGTGGTCATGAGTCTTGAGGTATCTACTATCTCAATGAAGGCATCAGTTCTTCTCCTAAGGCATCATCTACTCATATTAGTGAATGCAAGGAGTCTTGTACTTTGGTCTATCTCTGGCACACTAAATTAGCTCATTTGTCTTTTCCGTTGTTAAGAGTTTTGTTTCCAAAGTAGTTTGAAAAAGTTTGTTTAGAAAGTCTTTGTTTTGTGATGTGTGTCAAAAGTATAAACATTGTAAAACAAACTAACCAAGTTCTAGTAATGAAGGCACTGCTCCTTTTTTAATTAATTCACTCAGATGTCTAGGGTCCTTCACCTATTACTTCAATGGATGGCTATCGGTATTTCATTAATTTTATTGACCATTTTATGAGATGTACTTGGATTTACCTAACGAGATAACAAGAGGAAGTACCTATAATCACTACGATTTTCTACAAGATGATTGAGACACAATTTGGAAAGAAGATACAGTTCCATTCGGATAATGCAGCTGAATATTTTAAGAATTCTCTAAATGTGTTCTTTAAAGATGAAGGGACCTTACATTAGTCGTCCTGTACTTACCACAACAGAATGGAGTTGCAAAAAGGAAGAACAGACATTTTCTTGAGATTACTTGTGCTCTATTGTTTCAAAGCAAGGTTCCTCCTCTTCTTCTACAAACTCTAGAACTACAACCATTTCCATGGCTGTATCTGCCCACATAAAGTTTTTTTTTCTCAACCCTGGTTGTATGGTGGTCAGTAGCCAAGACATAACTCATAAGCAGATAAATTATCTTGGTCCCACTTATTACGTGTTGTTCAGGCTTCCTTGGGTTGTTCAACATTTCCAGTCAAATAACTTAACTTCCCTTTACACCAACATATAGTTTAATGCCTTTGGACTACTCCAAAGAATTCACCCCATCTAAGAGTGTAATAGAAGAAGGGAAACCCCCACTTTCAGCACCTGAAATGATAATGTTTTGACATTCAGACACCTATCAAGTTGCAGAATCTTCAGTAGCCATAGCAAAGATCAAGCTAAGGCACCAAGAAAGGAGGCACTTACACAAATTGGTAGCACCAAGAAACAAATGTACCAAGACAGTTTCTTCGACTACATCTTCAAAAAAAACCCTTATACCAGCAAACAATGACAAATCAGGAAAAACAGCAATGGAAAAAACTTCAAACACCACCAAGCCAAAAAAGGAAAGAAGAGCCCTACTGCCAATCCTCACAGTCCATACACCACTGATCAATCAATATTTAGATTGAGAACCAGTTTCAGACACCCAAAACACCATTATTCAGATCACCAATCAAGAAACCTTTGTAAAAGATCCACACACCATAAAACTGAGAACAACTTCTTAAAACTCTCAGACCTTCATCACAGTTTGGGAAAGAACACCCAAAAAGACCAAATTTTTGACCAAAAGGGAAAGAATGAACAGTAGAAACTCCTTACCTGATCGATCAGTACTCTTTCAGATTTGGTAAGTCCTAGTCTTTTCCCAGAGGGAACAGAGAAGGAGAGGAAGAAAGAAGGATCACACAAGCTTCAAACTTCTGCCAAACCTGCTCTGACCATCTAGTTTGTAAGAGAAAGAAGAGAAGAGAATAATAGAGAATAGGAGAAAGAATATTTTGGCAAAAAATGTCAGTGGCAGCACCTACACTGACTTGTATATTAGGGTGTTAAGAAATAAAGAGGAAATTATAATAGTACCCTTAGTTACAACTTAATAGAATAAAGATTCTAACAGCTCTAAAAATAAGATGCAACTTGGGCAAATCCAATGCGAGTCCTTTTGTATGGGACGGACTTGGATTTTTCAGGCTCTGGGATGGGCCTGGAGTCTGGAAACTCTGGCTTGACCTTAACTCATGTTGGACTCACCTCTTTCTGATGAATTTCTTAAGGTTGGGCACCTTTTTTTGGGCCTGATAATTTGTCTCTCTATCTCTCCCCATTATTTTTAATTTTTTGTTATTAATTAAAAAAATTAAGAAAGTTTATGTAGTGCACATACATATAGTAGTCGATCAAGACTACAATCAGTCTTGAATTCGAAAGGAAAAAGGAGAAATTTCAGCAGAGAAGAAGAAGAAGAGAGGGAGAAAGAAGAATCACACGAAGAGGTTTTGAAAAGAGAGAGAGGGTTGATCAATTGATCTGCTGACCCACTCTTAATATTTATATATGCTGACTAATTGTAAAAGGGCTGAATTGCCCTAATTGCTTACATGGCAAATAAACTAATAATAAAGCTGAAATAACAAGCTGTAACAACAAACTGAAATAACTACCAACTAACACTGACATAACTAACAAAAAATATGCTATGCTACCATACGAAAACAGTGGGGACCACAGCAGTGGGGTCCACATCAGTGTTCTCTACACATATAAAAAATATTTGAATATAATGTTAGAAGCTTCTTCAATCTCCATAGAAACTCAGGTAAATTACAAATAATTACCCTGTACTTTGGGGTAGTGACAGATAGGTACCCTGAATTTTCAATTGCAACACTTGAGTACCCTGAACTCTCAAAAACAGACACTGAGGTCCATCCGTTAGTATTCTATCAGTTAAACATTACATAATGTCAAAAATACCCTTCGCATGTATTTCTGAGATCATTCTCAGGTAACCGAGCATCTCCCCGCAATGACGTTTTCACATGGACTACCAGCATTTTCTGGTGATGATTTTACTCCATAGAATGATCTCAAAAATACATGAGACATTATGTAATGTTTAACTGACTGAATACTAACGGATGGACCCAAGTGTCTAATTTTGAGAGTTCAGGGTATTCAAGTGTTGCAATTGAATGTTCAAGATACCCATCTGTCACTACTCCCAAAGTACAGGGTACCTATCTGTAGTTTACCCTAAAAACTTTCAATAAACCAACTACATGGAAGCTCCAAGCTGTTTTTCTTTTCTACATTTCTATGAACATTAAAAAAATATTTTTATGGTAAATTGTAATTTACCCTATTTTTTAAGAAACAAATCTCAAAAAGAAATAAGACAAAGATAAAATAGCCAAACCTGGTCAACAACAAAATACATAAAAGAACCATAGTTTTCAAGGTGTCTAGGCGATTCTGGGCGACACGGGGGTCTCTAGTCGCCTAGTCACCTAGGCAATAAAAATTTTATAATAGAAAAACTAACTCTTGGATAGTTTCCTAGTTTTATATACCTTTCAGCATATATATGTTAATTGAAAAAAAATAGCAATTCTCTTTAGTAAGAACATTAAATTTCCTCTAAAAATGTGGCAAATCATCACACCTAAAAGATAAAAGTTTTTACATATATTAATTTCACTATTTTCAAAAATAATACTAGTATAATAAGTATATAACAGAGAAATTTCATATCAATTAGCAGCTAAAAAAGGTTATTAGCTTTATATGGAGTTTCTGTTTTATTTAATTAGAGAGAGAAAGAGAATAGAAAAAAAAAAAAAACCTCTTTATAATTCCATTCTTTCTTTCCTCTTTCTTTCTTTCTTTCTTTCTTTCTTTTTCTCTCCTCAGAACCCTTTGATCTTTTAAATTTCAATAGTAAAACATTAAAAAAAAAAAAGTATAATTGATATATATAGCATATAATAAAATCTTTTAACACATGCATTAATAAGATACAACAATATAATGATATTATAAAAGGCGCCCACCTTGTCATTTTTGTCGCCTAAGCGGGCACTTAGTCGCCTAGAAGGGTGCCTAGTTGCTAAAGGTCAAGGTGTTTGGGCGAGGCGCTGAGCCAAGGGCGCCTAATCGCCTAGGTGATGCCTTGACAACTATGAAAAGAACAAACTATTTTAATGATCAACACCAAACAAAAGCTCCATGTAAATGATGATGATATTATTTGAATAGAAATACACATGGATAAGTCATCATCATCATCATCCAAGCCTTATTGGCGCGCTTAAAACATTTCTTACTATTACCCATGTCCTTGTTCTTGTCGGTCTACTCCTAGCCCTTCTAGCCCCTCCAACTTGCAACAAATCACTTCTTATGGGAATGCCTTCATGCACAAGACAAAATCAGAAAGATTGCTGGAAGGAATCAAAAAAGTATAAGGACTCTAAGACAAGCACTAATTTTAAATTTTAAAAGCTCTTCTGGCCAATAAATATCTTTGAGAGGGAGAGAGAGAGAGAACCTTAAATCTGGATCACTCATACAAGGTGTGAAAAACCAACCCTGAGAGCAACCATATCCGGAGTAGATCAACTGTGATAGAAGGATACTTGGTTAAAAGCCTATAAATCTAAATAATTGAGAATTCTTTTCTAAAATTCCAAACTAAGTGTAGTAGACCAATATGGGAAACCAACCATACCTTATTTGATATTGGACCTTGKGCAAGGTATGGTTTTTCATCACGTAGATGGTGAAACCCATAAGCAACTTGTGCATCCATCCCTGCATGAATGGGAAATTTAAGTAATAATTAGCATAAATGGACCTAAAGACACCCAAAAGTAGCATTGTGGTTTAAAAAACCATTAATTTCCTAATACCTCCCATCATGCTTCCACTTTCATGAGTATGAGACAAAACCGCAGAATATCCTCTACATATGCATATACTTTCAATGATCAAATAATATGCCTCTTCATAGTTTTCATCTTTAAGCACATTTTTTCAGGTTATATGGTAATGAGCAAGAACTTCATGATATGTTTCTTTCCGAAATAGTTTAAAGTTAATATAATTTTAGTCACCCATTGACCTATGGTCCAACATCCTCAGTTCTAGAAAATCACAAATAAATATCGTAGCATCCACAAGAAAGGCATTTTCATACTAAACAAAAGAGGCACTTTCATGCTTACAAATAAATATTGCTGCACCTATGTTCCCTAGGCATGGGATTATTTTTGTCAGTTTACTAATAAGTATACAAGTTATTGAAAGAGGCCAATAGCCCATCCCTAATGTCAGTGCCTCAAGTCATCTTTCTGCTGAATGACCAGAACCTGCTGTTATCAGCAGATCTTGAAGAAAAGAAATAAAGTTCCTAATGGTGCTCATTCAGTCACAGTGTTTTAAAAGCGCAAGGCGCAAGGCGATGCGTGAGCCTATATGAGGCAAGGGGCAAAATTAAAAAAAAAAAGGCTAAAAAATAAAAAAAAAGCAAAAAATTCAAAAAAATATAAAACATAATATCAATAAAAATATAAACTTAAGTTTTAAAATAAATGTTTTAAAAAACCTATTATCTAAAATTAAAATACATAAATATAATATGTAAAGCATATTCAAATGAGAATTTAA